GTAAAGGCTAAGTACAGAGTAAGCACTGAAAATATTTGTTCTTCTGTCACACTGAACACGGATCAGCACTTCCTGTGCCCCTGGCTACATCAGCACATTGGAACTGATGCTTCCTGTGGCTGACTCTCTGTTTCCATTCCGGTAAAGCTGCCAGCTACCTTCTAACAGCATAAGGAGGCTCTACCTCTTAGCAAAGCTTCCTTCTATCACTTGGCCATCTCTCCCTCACTCAGTGCTTCATACACCACACTCCTCGCCCACATGCCCGCACACAAGGAAGTAAAGATCACAAAATGTCCCCTAAACCACCTCTGGATCCAGAGGCAGGTCACAGGTTGCAACGTAGAGTGGATGCACATAGGTGGAGTTCAGCTAGCTCTTGCAGGTGAGGCCCACCAGCCCAGGACAGATACAACAAGGACTGGGATTGTCCAAAGGAGTTTGTAGAGGAAAGAAGGAGGGTAGGGTCAGGAACATGGGGAAGTTAGGAATGGGAAAAGTGGAAATTTCTTTGTGGGAGAGGCAGTATATTACAGTGGAAAGTGAACTGGACTGGGAGGCAGAGGACACAGGTTTGAATTTTGGCTCTTCGACTCAGCATTGAAGGGTTAGGTAAATGATTTATCTATCACTACGCTAGTAAGTGTAATGGGTTTGAATTCCGGTTCTCCTGATTCTGGGTTCATTGTCCTGTCCACTAAACCATGCTGGAGCTTTGGGCCAGTTGCTTCTTTGCTCTGGGTCTCAGTTCACCTGTCTGAAAAATGAAGGAGTTAAACTAGATGATCTGTAAGATCTCTCTAGGTTCTTTAATCCTGTGAGTTTGATTTTTAAAAAATTCAAATTGGTAGATCCCGAAAAGAAAGAAAAAGGAACTGAGGGAGCACTTGAAAGAAAGGGCCTCAGATACCAGCAAGATTGTAATGTAGTTTGGTATTGACTGGTAACAAGCTAATTAGATTCAGCATAATTAGATACAAATAACAGACAAATTCACTTTCGCTCTGGGGAATCAACAACTCAAAAGGCCTTCTGGTTTTAAAGAGGGCTGGCTAGCTACCTGTTATGAGAAATCAATAGCAGAGAAGACTATGATGCTTTAGGAGAGAGTGGACCTAGAACTAAAATATGATCTATTTCTTCAACCCATGTGTTCATTTAGCAACTTAACCCACGACGGAAACACTCAACTCTCTATTCTCCAGGAACAAAGAGAAGATTATGGAATACACCACAGTCCCACAGACTGTTGGTAGCCCCAGTGGGTGAGTTCATTTAAAGACTTGCTTTAATGGGCTAGCTAGCAGATGGAGCTCTCCTCACCACTGACTTACATGGAGGATGGAGGTTTCCTTTGGGAAGCTCCCTTCTTGACATTGCTGTTGCCACTAAAACTACCTAGACACATTTGATATTATCTATTGGGTGGTTTGTATCGGAGGAGGAGAATGGAAGGACTGTGGGTGTCTTTGTAAAAACTAGACAGCAGCCTTAGTGGGGGATTTTCCCAGGGAAAAAAAAAAAGCTATGTGGGTACATTTCAAATTCTGTCCTGCTCGGAGTCAAAAAGTTGGATGACAGAAACCAGTTAATCTATGTTTTGGGGATTTTGGGGGCTAAATTCAATTTAATTCCATTCAGCAAGCAATTAAGGTATCTGATTTGTGTCCAGCACTATGGTAGGCGCTGGGGATACAAAGAGAAAAGCTCCCAAGGAGCTTACATTCTCCTGTGCCTTAGAAGGTGCTGCACATTTCTCACAAGAACCTCCCTGGGTAGCTTCTTGCTTAAAGAGGTTATGGACCATTATCCAAACCCCATTCCCTACCACCCACTTCCTAATTCCTTATCCCCATGCCCCTCAATAGTCCTACCCCAAAGTTCCAACCAAACACTTTCCACTGTGCCCTCTGGAAAGCCTGCTCCATAGGCAATAAACTTCCCTTCATCCTAAATCTTTATCTTTCTCATTCCTTCCATCTTCTTCCATCTTCCATCTTCACCGAAACCCAGCTCCCCCTTAATGACAAAATTTCCCTGGCCATCCTTTTTGGTACTGACTGCAGCTTCAATCATTCCCCTTGGCTCACTCTTGGTCAAGGTAGGAAAGCTGGAATGCTCGTTGGATTGGGTTAGATTAGATCCTCTCTTTGCTCTAGGTTTTTAGAACACCTCTCTCTCCCTGTTCCCTTCCTACGTATCAGACTGCTTCTTCTCAGTCTCCTTCACTGGATCCTTATCCATGTCACACCTTCTAACCATAGATAACCTACAAGGTTCTAACTAGGCCCTCTTCTCCTCTCCTTCTCACTTGGTGACCTCATCAGCAACCATGGATTTAATTACCATCTCTGCGCTGATGATTCTCAGATTTTTCTATCCTACCCTAACCTTTCTACTGACCTCCAGTTTCACATTTTCAGTTTTCCTTCAGACATCTTGAACTATATTTCCACTAGGCTTTTTAAACTCAACCTGTCCAAAATGGAACTCATTAACTTTCCCCGAAACATCCCTCCCTTGTGCTAATTTCCCTATTACTATTAAAGGTAACACCATCCTTTCAGTTTCTCAGGTTTATAATCAAAGTGTCACCTTCAACTTCTCACTATCTCTCACCCCTCATAGTCAATCTGTTGCCAAGGCTTGTCGATTTTACCTCTATATCTTTCTCGAATATGGCCCCTTTTCTCCTCTAAGACTGCTACCACCATGGTGGAAGCCCCCCAGTCAGCCATCAAAGTAATTTTCCTAAAGTGAAGGTCTGGCCATGTCACTCCGGTACTCAATAAACTCCAGTGGCTCCCTATTGCCTCTTAAATACAAAATGCTCTATTCAGCATTCAAAGCCCTTTCAAACTTACAGCCCTCAGCCCCCTCACTTTTCCAGTTTTCTTATACCTTTCTCCCTGCCCTGAACTCTTCAATCCAGTGGCACTGACCTTCTGGTTGTTCCTTGAACAAGACACTTCATCTCTTGGCTCTGAATATTTTCCCTGGCTATCCCTTATTCCTGGAATGCTCTCCCTCCTCATTTCCATCTACTGGTTTCACTGGCCCCCTTCAAGTCCTGACGAAAATCCCACCTTCTCCAGGATGACTTTCTCAACCCCTCTTCATTCCAGGGCCTTCCCTCTTCTAATTATTTCCTAATTTTCCTATACTATAGCTTGTTTTATATGTATTTGTTTTCTTATCATTTACCTCATTAGCTTGTGAACTAACCTTGAAGGCAGGGGACTGTCTTTTGCTTCTTTTTGTATCCCCAGTGCTTAGCACAGTGCCTGGCACAAAGTAGGCACTTAATAAGTATTGACTGACTGACTGACTGAGAAGTATCGCTACTTAGGGGTTTTGTTCAGTCAGAGAAAGGATCAACCCAAGTTTCAACATCAAAATCAGCCTGAGGTAACTCAACCAGTTGTGTTTAGAGTATTTAGGGAACACAGTTCCTCCTCAGAGCACATTGGAGAATCAAGTTCATGGGAAAAGAAGGTGTGCCTTTAGAACCTGCCCTTTGGGATTATGATTACCTTTGGTGAACCCACTCAGTTCCTCCTTAGTTATGACCACCAAAAGGCCTACGAAAACCTTGGTGAGATTTTCCTTGTTCCCTCATCCCCCAAGGCAGGAGAACTCATGAGAGAAAAGGAGTAAGGAGCAAACACAAATGAGGGTGGGAAAGTCAGAATGGCCAAATTTTATCCCTTACTCAGCTCTAGACCTGTTCCCACTTGTATCCTTAGCTTTACAAATCATCCCCTCCAACTTTATAGCTATCATCTCTTAGTCTATGTATCACTTAGTACATAGTAAGTACTTGATAAATGTTGATCATCAATTGGTCCCAATCTCTTGCTCTCTCAATGGAAAACAAATCAATCTACTAGTCCAGACTTTCCCAGAAATCCAGTATTTTAGCTTAGGTGAGGCAGTATGGTTTGCTAGAAGCCACACTGTACTTAGAGACAGATAGACCTGAGCTTGTCCCAGACTGGTCATTTATTAACAGTGTGACCTTGGGCAACTTGCTTGACCTTTCCAAGACTGTTCTCTTCTATAGAAAATGAGGGATAATAATACTTGTACTACCTACTTCAGAGATTCATAAGGAAATCATGTTGCAAGTGAAATCACTCCTTAAATGTAACAGCATCCTTGTCTTCAAATCCACTACTGTGTGGAACAATTCTCAAAGAGGACCATGACATCAATGAGGTGATGCCATGAATTGCAAGTGAATCAGATTTAGGTAAGGGAGGAATGTGCAAAGTCACCAGCCTCACCCTTTCCTCCAGAGCCATCTGGGTCCAGTGACCAGATGTAGATCAGGACGACTGGAGATGGCACCAGATGCACAGCATAGTGCCTTGCATATAAGAAGCACTTAATGAGTGCCTATTCTTTGATTTTTGTTTGCTTTGTTTCACCTTTGCATCCCCCATGCCTGTCTGCTGAGGAGTCTTTTGCACATAGCAGGTACTTAATAAATTATTATGGAACAAACCAATGAATGGCCCCTTTTTTTGGAAGAGATGAGCCTTGAGAAAGTTTTAAAGGAGATTAAGGTTGTGCAGCTCATTGGAGAGGGAGGAGGAAGAAAGAGAGAGATCAAAGTACTTTGGAAAGCACCCCTGGCAAAAGAACTGGCTCTTAAAATTTTAGACTCTGTCATTGACTAGCAGTGGGTCCTTGAATTGGATTCTTTACTTCACTGTGCCTGATTTTCCTCATCTATTTGTTGTTCAGTTGTTTTAGTTGTGTCTGACTCTCCAGGACTCCATTTGTGGGTTTTTTTGACAGAGATACTGGAGTAGTTTGTCATTTCCTTCTCCAGCTCATTTTACAGATAAGGGAACTGAGGCAAACAGGTTAAGTGACTTACCCAGGGTCACATAGATAGTAAGTATCTGAGGCTAGATTTGAACTCAGATCTTCCTCCTAACTCCAGAGTGGGCACTCTATCCACTGCACCACCTAGTTTCTCTGCTCCTCATCTATAAAAGGAGAGATTTACGCTATGCCATTTCTACCTCCCTCCTTCGTTTTTCTTTTCTCCCACCGCAACCTTGGACGATTCCCCACATCTGCCAGCTTGGATAGTTGGTGGAGCTTTTGCCTTATTCTTCCAAGAACCCAGTTTCTATACCATGTCTTGGTCATCTCCACACCCAGATGCCCTTTCCAGTTCCTCTTCATTTGTTGTTTTCTCCAATTAAAATGTAAGCTCTTTGAGGGGAGAGCCTGCCTTGCTTGCTTATATTTGTATCCTGAGCACTTAGCACAGTGCCTGGCACACATTAATAAGAGTTTTATCTGTCTTTCCATCATTATGTCTAGATGATCTTTAAAGTAACTTTCAGTCACTTCCAAAGTGTTCCATAATATAGGCAGAAGTGAGCAAGACATGTAGTCTGACAGATGAGATGGGTAATTAGACTGGAGGAAGACGTGTCGTCAGTGGTGGAATACATTGATTGGTACAGCTAGGAGGGGACCCTGAGATGTTAAGCACATACACAAAGCACCATCCAGCCTGGGGAGAAGGACCCTGCATTAATTGTGATTCTCCTAGATTTAAAGACCAGCCCAGTGTCCTGTTTTCTGTGGTTGCGGGGTTGTTTGCCATTTTCTTGGTCACTGCTCTCCTCTTCACCCTATGGTTCTGGAATAAACGGAAAAAAGGTGAGTCTAATTTGTCTTCAGATCATGTGTGAAAATTATCCTTGTTATTTAAACTCCACCTTTAGGCTATTTAACTTCCCACCCCAGCTCCATTTGGAGGAGCAGACTAATTGCATAAAGTCCTATTCAGTTCTCACATACCCCCAGAGCTGTAACTAGGACAAGGCGACTAGGACTTTGTCTCTGGGAGAGGAAATTTAAAGGTCTCACTGACAGTACTCAGTAGCATAGAAACAACTGAGTGGCACACAGTTAGCAAGAATAATTAATTAAAATAGGAAGTTACCAGATGGCAGTTTCTTTCCCCTAACTCCTAAATATAACCATCATTGCCTCAACCAAGGTAAGCTTCTCCCCTTGCCTTGCCCTGGCAGTGGCTTCCTGGGTAGTAGCCCTAGGGTATCCTGAGGTCTCTGTCACACCTAGAAACTCCCAACTGAATTGAGGTTAGGTTTCATGCCACTCATCTAGGCTAGCAAAAATTGCTAGTGGTAACACTACAAATTCCACCCAAGAGGTAGAGCTTTAGTCCCCTCAAAGAATTTTAACCATTGATTTCAAAATTGTCAATGATCATTTGAATGCAGGTTTGCTTGTATTTTTGTGTTGTTCACTTAATATGAAAAATGAATCAAACCCACTACTCTTGGGTGCCGTCTCCTCCCCAAGACCTCTTACTGTCTTTATTGGATCATATGAGATTGACCTAATCTGGAAAAATGACTAGTCTTCTAGTAAGAGCAAGACAATCTCCCAGGTACAGTCCATGCCCAAGAGGTGAGGTTCCATCTAACCCAACAGCTCAGATGCAACTGACATCTCCCTCATCCTATTGCCTTGTAGAACGGGTATCTTACTTCCGGGTCACTGTTGTTCCCCTGGTGACGCTGTCTCAATCCAGAGAACGAGCGAAAAACATCTATGGTTTTCTGCCCCAAAGCCAAGTGAGGCCTGGTAGGTTCTTTTCTCATATTCCTGGGTCCATAGAAGAATTAATTGGCATCTCTTTAAGCTTTCAAAGGATCATAGATTTAGAACCGAAAGGAACCTTACTGGCAATTATTCTAATTTCCTCAATTTGTATATTTATGAAAACAAGCCCAGAGAGGTTAATAATTTGTCCAGGATCACACAGCTAGTAAATGGCAGAGCCAAGATTCAGAAACAGCTCTTCTGACTCATAATCCAAAGATCTTTCTGCTTTTATTATTACTCTGGAAAGCTACAGAAAGAATGAGACCAATGGATCTCAAGATTTAATCCCAATGAGATGGCCCTAGAGAGCTACAGGAGGGGTATAAGGGAAAAGTGGGAAAGTCCAAACAGGGTGAGGAAGGGGAAGTGCCCCCAGAATTAAGGAGAAGGAAGAAGATAAACTGTGAAAGTACACATGGCCTAACTTTACCCAGTCACTGGCCATCATCTTCAAGCTCAACTCAGGATGGGGAGTGGGAAGCAACAGAAAAAACTTCACCTCTAACCCTCTGGTCACAAGAATATCAGGTTAGTTACCAGAATAATCTTTCTTCTACAGAAGCCTGGTTATATCACTCATTCCTCTGGTCAATCAGTCAACAAGCATTTATTAAGCACCTACTATGTGTCTTGCACAGTGCTAGGAGCAGCAAATACAAAAGTATTCCTGCCTTCAGGAAGTTAACATTCTATTGGGGAGATACAACATGTTCACAGATAAGTAAATATAGGCTATATGAAAAAAAATACACGGTGATTGTTGGGGGCAGAGAGGACTAATAACTGGGGGAAACAGGAACATCTCTTGAAGAAGATAGCACCTGAGCAAAGCCTTGAATGGAACCAGGGTTCCAAGGGGCAGAAATGAATAGGGAGAGCATGCCAGGTGCCAGGGACAGCCTTGTCTGGGGGTAACAGACGGAAGGCCAAGTATGAGGAACAGCCACTGGGTCAGTCTGGCCAGAACATCGAGTGCACAAGGGGCAGTAATGTGTAATAAGCCTGGAAAGATAGGCCAAAGCCAGATTATGAAGGACTTTAGGTACCTGACAGACGAGTTTGTATTTTATCTTAGGTGCAATGGGTAGCCACTGAAGTGTCTAGAACAGGGAAGTGGGATGCATTTTAGGAATACTAACCTGGGCCAGGCTTGCTAGGGCTCACCTGGAATTCCTGCTGCTGGGACGCTGAAGCCAGTAGGTCACTTGAGATTAGGAATTCTGAGCTGTAGTAGGGCTAAAGTTCATTGTGTATCCACACCGGATCTGGCACCAATACGGAGAGTTCTGGGAATGGAGGGCCACCACACTATCTAAGAAGAGTTAACCAGCACTGGTCAGGAAAATGGAGCAGGTGAAAAGTTCTACACTACTCAGTACTGGGATCAAACCCATAAGTAGACACCACACTTCTGGCCTGGGAGATACAAAGGGACTCAAATATAAAAAAAAGATATCAATTTAGCAGCTGCATAGAGGAGAGGGAAAAACTGGATACAGGGAGAACAATTAGGAAGCTATTGAAATAGTCTGGTCTCTGAGACCTGAAATTATAGTATGTATGGTAGTATGGGTAGAAAAAAGAATTCAAGTTAAAGAGATGTTGAAAGAGTAGAATTGGTAAGACTTGACAATTGACTGAACATGGAAAGTGGAGCGTGGTGAGTGAGAGTGAAAAATTGAGAATAATCCCCATGCTGCTGGAGAATGATGGAGGAAGGAGGCCTTACCAAAAATAACAAAATTAGAAGAAAAAGTGGGTTTAGTAAGAAAGAAAATGTGTTCATTTTGGATATGTTGAATTTGAGAAGCCTATGGGATATTCGGATAAAGCTATCAAGCTGATAGTTAGAGATATGGGACTAGAGCTCAGGAGAAAGATGAGGGTGAGACAAGTGGATTTGGAAGTCATCTGCATAAAGATGAAAATTGGATTCATGGAAACTAATGATATTGCTAAGAGAAACAACATAGAAAGAAGAGAAGCCCAGCTTAATGGACTTCTCTCTGACCTCCTCAGTCAATAGCAAGCTTTCCTCTCAGACCTCATATAAATTCTTCATTATTATTCCTTTCTTACACTTAATAATTTATCATGTTAGGTTAGGGTTAGGGTTAGGGTGTAGTGGACAAAAGACTGGCCCTGGAGTCAGGAAGACCTGAGTTAACTCAGCCTAAGACACTTACTAGGTATGAGGTTCTAAACAAGTCATTTTACCTCTGTTTGCCTCAGTTTTCTCAACTGTAAAATGGGGATAATAATAGTACCTATCTCCCAAGGTTGTTGTAAGGATAAAGTAAGATAATATGTATAAAGTAATTTTCAAACATTAAAGAATTGTATAAATGCTATTGTTGTTGTTGTTGTTGTTCAGTCACTTCAGTTGTGTCCAATTCTTTGTGACCCATTTGGAGTTTTCTTGGCAGAGATACTGGAGTGGTTTGCCATTTCCTTCTCCAGCTCATTTTACAGATGAGAAAACTGAGGCAAACAGAGTTAAATGACTTGCCCTGGGTAACACAACAATAAGTGCCTGAAGCCAAATTTGAACTCAGGTCTTTCTTCATGATTCCATAGTAGGCATTCTATCCACTGGGTCACCTAGCTGCTAAACTATATAAAGGCTAGCTATTATTTTGTTGCTGTTGTTATCTATATTTGTTTCATATACCACTCCCCAGACCATAAATTGGAGGAACATTCTCTTATCTAAGCTGGTATCTCCCCCAGCACCAAGCATAATACTCCATATGTATACGTATATGTATATGTATATGTATATGTGTGTATGTGTATGTGTATATATGTATATATATGTATGTGTATGTATATTTACATATACATATATATCACTTAACAAATGTTTGTTAAATGTTGAACAGATGAATATCTGAAGTCCTGAGCAATTCCAGGTTCACCTGTAACACTGGGATCCATTTAGGGTTTCATCACTTGATTCATGGGTTGTCCTACATCTCTTCTCAGACCTGTTCTCTGATTCTTGCTCTTCCATATCTTTAAGGTCGGCGTCACTCAAGAACCATTCGTATTTTCAGTACGGAGAGTCTCTTTCCCAGAAATTCAGAAAATCCTAACTCTGAGCATATGGTAAGACCCAGGCACACACACACATACACATACACACACACGTTCCTCCATATTATTGGCCCATATGCCTATACACACACATACATATATATGTCACACACATATACATACATGAACACATATATATGTATATACCTTATATATATACATATTCATACATATATATAATTTTTCCCCAGTAACAAAGAATTCTTGGCTTTTGTGCTCTTATGTCCAGCACATAACCTCTGAAGAAAATTAAATTAATACTACTATGATTCCTAAAATGACCTTTCTAGTCCTGTGTTGGGCTCAGGAATTTTGCTTTCTGTCTGAGTTAGTTTAGAGTTGTAATTAAAAGAAACATTATCTCTCATACCTGTAGCTGTTGGGATACTTCCAGAACATCTGTTCATTATCTTTAAGCCCCACAAGTTAACTTGGTAACATCCCCAAAAGATATGTTGACTGTCCTTGCCTGTCCCTGTGTAATTAGGGGAGTTTTTAATCTGTTCCAAGGAGACAGCAAGTCTGGTAGTTTTGATCCCCTAGCAAAAATTATAAAGGATGCATTCCATAAAACAATTAACATTCCTTAATTAATAGAGAGGGGCAGTGATTAGCCTCATATGAATGCCAGTCTGCCTTTCTTAGTATAGCTAATCATAATGTTCCCATTCCAATTCTACAACAACCTATCACCTTTTCTCCACACCAACTAAGATCCCTTTTTTGTTGTATGTCAATAAAAAGGGTCCCTTTCTTCTTACTGGGGTTGCTGACTTTACTGAGGTTGCCAGTCTGACTCACTTGGTTAACAGTTACACATCACTATCAAATGATTAAGCTCAGAAGCTTGTACCCCAGTTTACCTTTATTGATTTTATAAAATAATATTTATAAAGTAATTTTCAAACATTAGAGAACTATATATTTATTTACTATATATATATATATATTTAAGTATATATATTAAAAAACTGTCTGTCTCCGTACAGTATAACCATACAATAATCATAGAAACTCAGGATTGGAAGAGAAGGACCCCAGAGCTCATCCAGTCAAACCCATAAATGAATAGTAATCACTTCTACCCCATATCCCATATTTTCATTACACATATGTGAAACAGACTAGAAAACAATAAACCTTTCCTGGATCTTTGACCCAGGACATAGCTTTTTAGGCTTAATTTATTTTTAAGGCTACAGAAGGTCTTAGAAATAGTATGATAAAGGAAAAAACCAAAAGTTGTAAATAACACATCACAACATGAGTAGGAGAAGAAAAAAAAAAAAACTCTGCTAATGTTCCATATCCCTTTCTGATGAATTTAAATCACTTCTCCTGACAGTTCTCACCAACAGTGCATGTCCTCCAGTCATGCAGGGCCAGTGTTCCTGCTGTTGGATATGAGGTTGGCATCTATGACAACACTGCGATATCCCAGGTGCATGGGAACCTCATCCCTGCAGTAGATTATGTCAATGTTGGAGCATCCATAGAAAGCATGAGCACTTCTTCAGAGGATTCACAGGATTATGTCAATGTGCCCAATGCTGAAGAAGTTTCTAGGAATCCAGGTGCAATGGACTCCTTGTCTGAGGATCTCCACAATCCTCAAACATCTGAGGAGAGTGAACCCAGTATAGAAAGAGATAGCGGCACTAAGAATGCTGAAGACTCCACCAGTATTTGGGTTCTAGGCCTTGAGGACAGTGACTATAATGGGGATGCAGAGGGCTCCTCTCTGTCCTCTAATGACTATGTAAACGTGCCAGCAGCAGATATTGAGGATCAGGACAGACAACACTGGGTGACCTTTCAAGATTGCCGAGCTTATGACAATGTCCTATGGGCTGAGCCTAATAGGAAAAAGCCTCATGCAGGGGAAGAGTTGACACCAACAAATAGAGGAAGCATGCTGGGTTGGACTCCCAGTCTCCCTTTTGATGTCCATTGTGAAGAACCAAGAGAGAACTCGCTTGACTTCTGGGATTATGAGAATATTGAGCCATTAGCACAGGATGGAAACAGCCAAGAGACATCTGCAGAAATGGATAGCGAGGACTCTGATGACTACATAAATGTGCCGGCAGTGGTGGAAGAGGGGAAGCTCGACACTGAGCATGGGACTGAGGCAAGGGCGCTGACTACAGAGCAGAAGCTCACTAACCAGGATGGAGCTTTCTGTACGTTCCTTCCTACTTCAACTTCTGTAACCACATAGCAGTGCCCCAGATCAATGAAGGACTGAGAATCTTTCAATATGAGCCATCTGGTAAAAGGTGGGAAGAGGTGATGGGTGAGCAAAAGGAACTGTGTGAAAATGGTGGCAGTGGTGGTGGGCGGGCAAAAGCAAGAAAGAAACTGCTTTTGAGCCATGGAGCCTGGTAGAAAGAACGTAGACCTGCAAGCCAGGAGAACCAGGGTTGAGCTCTGGTTCTACCAAGTACACGTGTCATTTATAAGTGAATTACCTCCCTGTACTTCAGTTTCATTATCTGCCAAATGGGCATAATAATGATATCTGGCCTACATACCTAAAAGGAAGTGTACTACAGCAGAAAGCACCATATATTTGGTGTCAAAGGACTTAGGTCCAAGTTCCAGCCTGGCCTAATCCCAGCAAATCCATACTTATGTGTGGGCTTGGGAAAATAACAACCTCTCAGGGCCTCAGTTTCCTCATCTGCAAAACGAGGGGTTGGACTACCCCACATGGGGTTGCAACCCATAGTTTAAGAAGTGCTGAAGGGATCGCAGATGGAAAAAATTTAAGAAGCCCTGGATTAGATGATTTCTAAGGTCCCTGCCAGTTCCAAATCTATAATCCTGCCCCTCAAATCTCCTGTGAGAATGTTCTAATAATGGAAAAGCACTTTATAGAGGGGTAATGCAAATATAAGGAATGATCATTCCAAGCTAGTGACATTACTAATGCCCACCCCAGAAAACACATCATTAACAATGTTGCTACAACTCCATTTGGAAGCAGTTAAGATATTACAAGCACACTCCATCATAAAAGTGCCCCAATTATAATGTTTTCAATCTCTGGCTCCTAATCTCTATTTCTCACCAAAGCTGCTCCAGTTTTACTGTTTCACCTAAACCTGGGTTTTCATGGACTCAATTAAAGATATTAGTTGGGTCTGCCTACATGCAGAAGTCTAGGCAAGGTCTGAAGGACTGAGCTAGGGGGAAGTTTTCATTTGGTCCATTTGTATGATCATATGCTCTTCTTGGAAAGGAGCTAAGCTAGAAAAGGGCCCAATCTGTGAACCAAGATCAAAGGCACAGAATTCGACATACCTTCCCACTCTGCTACTGACTTGAGCAAATTTAAGTCATTCTGTGCTTTAGTTGCTTGACTATAAAGTTAGGGATAACAGAAGACGTGTTTGTAATTGCATTGACATAACTTGTATATGTCAACATACACATATTTTTCACATATGTTTTCACATATATGTTCCGTCTCCCTAACTGGATTGTAATTTTATTGAGGGCTGAGACCCTTTCATAATTTCTTTGTATCATCCATAACATCTAACCCAGAACCTTATATATACTACATATTCAATAAATGTTTGTTGATAAGGGAAATAGTATATGTGTTTTGTTCATGTGTTCACAGTACATATTTCTAACTCGGGATAAATTATTAATCTACCCTGCATAAGACTCCCCTTATCGCTGAAGAGACAGTGTATAGGCGCATGCAAAGATTTCTTTCTGGTAAAGAAGGTTGTTGAAAGGAGGATGTTTGCTAGTTGTGATTAAGGCCCAGATACTGTATACTAAGATAGCAAGGGCATTTCCTTTTCCGGAAGTCACACCGAAGACCAAAGCAGAAAACAGTTACGCAGCCCATACCAAGGGCCTGTGTTCTTCATTCTGGGAAATGCTAATCAGATACCTCAGAGGTGTGTGTGAGAGACAACTGGAACTTGGGGTAGTGTGACTGAGACTTTTCCTAAGTGCACTTAAATTTAGAGAGCAGTATAGCACTTGGATGGCTTCAGCGGGTAAGATGATTTTAGTATTTAGTTAGCAAAAATAATTGGTTAAAATGGGAGGCTACTTTTCCCCTCACCACATTGCCAATCAGCCCCAAGGTGAACTCCTCCTGGGATTGGCCTGGCCTGTCCCCTCGCTCAGTGGTGGTCTTCCTCAAGTGGACTTCCAGTATTCCAGGGTCTTTGTATCCTTCCCCATGATTCAGTGCCCTGGAGTCTCTCCTCCATGAGACTTATGCCCTGAGATCTCATGTTTCTTCAAGGCGTCTCTTACCCTAGTTGAATTTTTCTTAGAAAGTTGACTAAAGGATGTTTTTAAGCGCTGCTTGTCCCAGAGCATGTTTTGTGGAGCTTTCCCAGAGTGCTTGTCAGAATGGTTTTGTTCAGAAGATGTGTTCAGTTGGTCAGATTGGTGTAAGTAAAATGTCTGATCCAGCCCTAAAAGTCTGATCACTGATCAGATGAACTACATTTTGTCTTCAGAGTTTTGAGGAAACCTAAGACTAAAGGCGGGGGGATACACGAGAAGGTGGTTCTGCTATCTCCTGTAACTAAGGTAAATCAGTGCCCTTCTGCCAAGATTCACCAGGGTATTTGCATCCAGAGGGATTTCGCAAGGCCTAAGTTCTAATAGCCAATTGGAATAATTTAAATTGGTATAGATTCAGAGGCCTATTGGGTGAATCAATAATATCCCCATTTATTCACCTATTCTCTGCTTGGACTCTACCAGTGACAAGTGACTGATTTCCTCACTAGGCAGCCTCTAGTTTTGGAGAACTCTATTTATTAATAAGTTCTTCTATACATTAAGCCAAAAATCTACCTTCCTATAACTTCCACTCATTGCTTCTAGTCCTGCTTTATGGAAGCAAGAGGAATAGATCTGATACTTTTTCCATATGCCAGTCCTTCAAATTCTGAAGACAGCTATCATGTCTCCCCTCGGTCTTCTTTTCTCCAGCTTAAATGTCTCTAGGTCCTTCAACAGACAATGATACTGCTGTCAACAATGATAAATGGTATTTGTAAAGCATCACATGTCATAGATATGTGTGTATTTATGTATATATATATACATATGCATATATGCATGCATGAGTATATGTGAGTATGTATGTATGTGTGTATATATTCTCTTCACAACAATTCTATGAAATAAGAGATATGGATATTACTCCATTTTATGGTTGAGAAAATTGAGATTCATAGAAGCTAAATGACTTGTGCAGAATCATGTAGCTACTAAATTTCATGGTGAGGATCTGAACCCAGATCTTCTTGACTTCAAGTCCAGATCTCAATTATCCACTGTGCCTTGCTACCTCCTGTGACATGGTTTCAATTCACTCTCCTCTGGATACACTTCAGATTGTCGAAGTCCAGACTGACCAGCTCAAAGTCTAGTGATTCTAGAACCTCTCTAGAACCATACTACACTTCTACTTGAGCCTAAGAATCAGACCTAACACAAGATCCATCCTAAGGCACAGATCTATCTTCCTCCAGATCTCTAACTTGATAAATTGAGACGTTCTCCAATTTCTTCTTCATTTTCTTCACCGCATTCAAAATCATTTCCTTTTTTTTTCACACCTCTCCTCACAGCTACAAAAGCAAAAACTTATCTGCACTCTTGTTTCCTGTCAGTCAGTATTTTTGAAATGTCACGGCTTAGTGTCTGCATATTTCAGCATGATGCAATGGAAAAGAGTGCTGGATTTGGAGACTTACAACTTGAGTTCAAATCTCAGCTCTGCTACTTATTCTCTGTGTGACCTTGGACTAGTCAAATAACTTTTTGGGGGGAGGCAATTGGGGTTAAGTGACTTGCCCAGGGTCACACAGCTAGTAAGTGTCAAGTATGTGAGGTCAGATTTTAACTCAGGTCCTCCTGATTCCAGGGCCAGTGCACTATCTACTGCAAATAACTTCTTTAAACCTGATTTTCCTGACCTGTAAAAGGAGAGGATTGAATTCAGTGATCTCTGAGACCTCTTTCAACTCTAAATCTATGATCTTATGAATGCTGTTAAGGACTGAGTTCAGTGATACTACACCAGAGACTTAGCTCTATTCAGAGGTGATGGAGCCTGTTCAAAAGAACAGGTTAAATTTTCATTGTGAGTGTTTAGTTGGGGAAATCAGCAAATGCCTATAGCTTTCTTCAAAACTCAGCTCAAGCTCCACCTCCTGGGTTCAATCTTTTCTGAATTTCATCCCCTGCCATGCACACACACACATACACACACACACACATTCATGATCTTATATTTACTGTGCAGCTGACTTTAGCTTGTTCCTGTATATTTTTTTTTTTCTCTGCCTACTCATCTACATGAGTGAAAGGAAGACTTGGAGTTTTTTTTTTTTCCCAATGTATTTTTGTATTAGTTCAAAGCATCTTTCCAATCAATTCAACAAATAATTAACAAACACCTGCTATATAAAAAGTGCTGTGCTATGACAAAGTGAAAGGGTTCCTGCTCTCATGGAGCATCCATTCTGCTATGGGGTCAGTGATACTTGATGTACACAAGTAAATCTGTACAAAGTATCTCAAGATAAAGTGTGTTAGTTCACGGGGGAGGTTTCACGTAGGAGGCAGCGTGGGAGCTGTGCTTTGAAAGAAACTGGGGATTCTAGAGCCTGAAGCATTATTTTTTAATATCACTCCAAATAATGTTTTTAATTTCCTTTTTTATTATAAACTTAACCATCATTATCAACATAAACATTCCTATATACAAATAAAAAAAAAGGATTTTATATGAAATGAAGACTTGGAGTTTTAGAAATCATGTAGTCCCTCATCACAGAACTATTTGGTAAGTAAGAAGCAAATAACATTAGTTGCTTTATAGCCTAAACTGGAGAGATGAGAATTTGCAAAGTGTGTTAGCTAGTCTCCTTAAACTGGGGTGAGGTAGGGACTTAGACCTATCAGGAAGAGGCAGGAGAAGGAGGACTAAGCCCTAAGGGCCTTATCTAATGCCTGAAGATGAGAATATCCAGGAAAGCTAAGGAAATGAGAGACCTTGGAGCCCAGACCAAGGAGTAAACAGGGAAGGCTTCTGTTGGTTATGGGATGATGGCTGCTGCCTTTTGGTCTATAAGAACATGGCAAAGACTCTAGTTAGGGATTACAGCTGAGCCTGAAGTTGAGGTTAGTGCAGGCTGAAGCAGGCACTCCACTATTAGGGAGGTTTCTGTGATCCTACACAAGACCAGTGGGGAGGCAGCCAATCACGAAAGTCAGTGTCAGCATGAACAACACAGAATCATCAACAGCCAGGCAACAGGCTGCCTTGTGGGCACCTCAGCCACATGTGTACCTCTCTGTGTTTTCCATGTGTGTCTACTCTTCTTGCTGGGTATATTTGTGGGAAAATACAACCCAGTTTGTTGTGGGAAATGTTTTGTTTCTACTATTCTTGCTCTGTATGCCATTTCACTAAATACTTTCTGAGCTGATTGTGTCCTTTTGATGGGGTATGGGCCCAAGCTGAGACCTTTGTCCCTTACCCCAAAAAGAATTTGGGTCCCATTTGTCTATGGGCCCTAGAAAACCCCACCTTGGACTCTCCTTGAACTCCCACTTGATCAAGAAAGTCTCTAGCTTTGCCTGACGCTATAATCCTATCAACTGGCCTTCCGTTGCCCCTATGCTCAATCTTTCAATTCTGTTACCCTTAACCTAGCCTTCCATTATATGTTACCTCAGGATGGCCTCCAGCTACTTCCCACCCTTGAACCTATCTAGACCCCATTCTCAATCTCCCAGTCACTCCCATCAAGATCCTCCCTAGATCCCTCCTCTAGTCACCCCAGCCTACTGACCATCCCCATCAAGATTCTCCCTAGACCCCTCCTCACAGATACCCCAAACTATTTGGCCACTCCTAGATCCCTCTCATAGTCTTTCTGTATATTAGGTCCATCTTGTCTCCATTAAGGTGCTCAGATTCTTAAAATCAGGTCAGTAGTGCTTAGATTCCTTAAAAGTCTGGCCAATATGGTGAATTTTTAATAAACCTTGTCTTTGACTGAAAAAAGGCTTAGGTCAAATTCATTTGGGCAGGACTCACATATTGCTATTCAGGGTCCCAGCACCCCTAAACTTCTAAACCTCAACATTTATGGATCCCTGAACCTCAATACTTTGGCCATTTTTTAAAAAATAATTTTTATTGCTATTTTCTATTTTCATATCACTTTCATATGCCAATATATCCCACCCCATCCACTCCCAGAAAGAAATCTATTTATAACAAAAAAATTTTTAAGTGAAAATAAACTAGTTCAACAAAATTAGCCAACATATAATTTGTAGTGTCCACACTCAGAGGATAATAATTATAGTGTCCCCACTGCAAAGAGGTATCCTATGTCAAAGTCTAGATTGACCAACTCAAAGTCTGGTGGTTGTAGAACCCCCTTAACCACAGCCAGGACAGGTGATTCAAATCACAAGACAAAGGCTCTTAGGTAATGGGAGTTGAGATTTGACCTTTGAGGTTAATCAAGTTTCTCAGGAAAAGTGGGTGATGGGTGGGGTTACAAAGGTGGTGGTAATTA